CACGCCTAAGGGTCACCGGACCAGCGCCGGCCGCACAAGCGGCGTTTCTTTTTCCCCCTTCGCGCCCCGCGACCCGAGGGGTCGGCCTTCCGCCCCGCAGACGGCTCGGGGATGCCCGGGAGGCAGGACAGCGCGCACGCCCCGGGGGGAGCCGCGGGCGTCTAGCAGGCCTGTCGACCGGCCCGCCTCCTTCAGGCGCCCTGGCGGCCAGTCGCGCCCGGCAGGGCCTCTTGCAATCGCCTCCCCGCCCTTCGCCGGCGCAGGTCAGGGGCCGCGGCCGCTTTGACTCCTTGGGAAGCGGGAGCCCGTGGTCGGATCGATCCACTTCAGGTCGGACTTCGACCAATCGATTTCGGAGCAGGCAAGGGGGTTCCTCGCTCCGGGAAGTCGGTGCTCTTTCCTCCAGCCGGAAGCCGTACGAAAGGATAGGACCGCAGCTCTGGGGATGATGGAAGTTGTAGTCCCCCTTCTGAATGGCGCCCGGTTGTGAGGATAGGCTGATGGCGACGCAACCGGGGATGGGGGTGCCCTGGCCTGGAGGGCGCGAGAGGAGCAGCAGAAAGAACACAACGCCGAGCGCGGCCACTCTGCCTTCGACCCCCGGGCATTTTTGCAGAAAATCGAACTGGGACAGAGTGCGGCGGGGTCGCGCGTGGATTCCCGGGGTCACGGGGCTCGGCGACCCCTCCCCCTTCCCTTGCACCCGCACTCTGCCCCGGACGACACTTCTGGGTTCGAGCGCCCGCCCCCTCCCCTCCAAACGTTGCCAGCTCCCGCAAACGGCGCGGGGGAGGCTCTGGGTGCGCGCGGCTTTGGGTCGAGAGCCCTCTCCGGCCTCAGCACGGCCCTGCCGACCACAACGCGCTCGCTGCCTCTTCCTGGATGCGAACCTGCACACGCGCCCCCAGCTGCGGGAGCGCCCCGGACTTTGCACCCGCCCCCGGAACACGCACGGGAGTCTCACAACCTCCAACCAAACCAACGCTGGGGGCGGGGGGGTTCTTTTCTTTCTTCCCTCGTGGCGCATCTTCAAAGAGGCGATCAAACTCGCCTGCCCCGGGACGGGGAAAGACGTCCTTTTTATTGTAATATTTCCGCCAGAGAAGCGGCGGGGGAGAGAAAGAAGGAAATGCTTTTCCCGTGGCTTGCCCGTATTTTCTCTCCCACCCGCCACAGCCCAGCTCCAGAACTGCGGCGGCACCTAGCTCTGAAGGCGGATCGTGGCCTCAGCTCGGTCTCCTCTTTTAATCTGGGACTACTCTGGCCTGGAGGGGAAGACCCCGGCATCAGGGCAAGGGGCTACGGTTTTTTCTTCCCCCAACACCCGCTGCCGTTCCCCACGTCGGGCTGGAGTCCCGTTCCTCTCAGCAGGCCTGCTCCAAGCAGGCTCGCCCGGACTGCCCCAAGCCAGCGCATTCAGTCACCTGTAGCACTCGCATCTCCGCATGTTCTCGTGGCGTTTTCTGTGCCACGTTGCAATAGCTGGCGGCTGATGCGAGCGAAAGAGAGAATCTATTAATGGTGATGCATTATTAATTTAAAAAGCATCCCCTTTCGCCCGCCACGCCTTCCCGCCCGCTGCCAGTCCCCATCGCGGGTCGCTTTCCTCCCTGAAACCCGTCTTTCCAACGACAGGCGGCGGTTCCGCCATTCGTGCCCCCACCCGGCTGGCTTTTGCCATCTTTCTGCCGCTTCTTCACTCACAGGACTGATCAGCCAAACGCACGCAGGCGGGAGGGGGAGGAGAGGGAAGGCGGGGAGCACCGATGGCAGCAAACGCGCCCCTCCACTTTCCCCTTCTGCCCCCCCCCCCGCACTGCAAGCTTCAGAGCAGGGCAAATCCCAAGGTGGGGGCAGGATTGTGGAAGACCGGGGACCACCTGCAGCAGGCTGGGCCTGGCCCGCTCCTTCCCCGAGGCGGCCAGGCGGACCGTGCCCCCGGCCCCGTCCTCGCTTCTCGCGCCGCGCCGCCGCGTTACCTCTGCGGGCGTCCTCGCTCCGCGCCAGCAGGGCGAAGAGTGCCTCGGGGGGCCGCTGGCCCGCGCCCCACCGCGCCTCCTTCCGCGCGTCCATCTTGCCTCGCCTTCCGCGCCCTCCGAAGCCGGCGAGGGGCGTTTCAGACGGGGGAGCGCTGCGGAACCCTCCCCTTTAAGGGGCCAGACCGGGAATGTGGATCCGCGCTCCCCCGCCGGGGTGAGTGGAGGAGCCGTGCTCCCGGCCGCCCTGCTCCGCCGCGGACGTGCGCTGGGCGGCAACACCACGGACAGCGCCCGGGAGCCCGACGGCGGGCCGAGCTGCGCCCGCGAAGGCCTGGGAGCCGCCGGGCGGCAGGCGAGGCGCGCGCGAGCTGCGGGCGACGGACGGGGCCGCCGGGTGCCTTCCTGGCTGGCTGCGCTGCGCTGCAGGGCGCGGAGCGCCTTCTTGGCGGATCAGGGCCAGGCGCCTTCCAGGAGGGCGCCAGGGGAGAAGCGGCCAGCAGGAAGTCGCGCGGCTGGTCCGCCTCTCGCTGCGCAAAGCCTCCGCGGGTTTTTTCTCGGTGGGGGTCGCCCCTCCCCCGCCCCCGCCTCCACAGTGGGCTAGAGGTGTGGGAGCTGAGCGAGATCCAGAGGAAAAGGCGGCCCAAGCTGGAAGCGCGCTGAAGCGCGAGATGCCAAACACTCTCCTCTCACCCGAAGAAACAGTCAGAAACTTTCCTCCTGCGGGTGTGCAGAAAGCAGCTGCTCCCCCGCCCCACGCCTTCCGTATATCTTGGACTACAATACCCATTGCCCCCAGCCAAGCCTCCCCCAAGCTGATTTCCTCCTGATATGTTGGGTCGCGACTCCCTCTCCAGCACCCTCCGGCCAGGTTCCCCCCAGATACATTGGATCGCGGGTCCATCACTCTGTGCAGCGTTCGCCTTGCCCATTTCTAAACCATCTCAGGCACCAGGCCGGGCTGCTGCGAGGGTCCCTGAGGCCTCTGTCCCTGGTTTCCGTTCAGGCGCACGGGAAGCTTCCAGCCATTCCCGCCCCGCGCCTACTCTGCGTTGGATCGAGCTGGTCGCTTTAGCGCAACTCCTGAGCGCCCCTCCTTACGCTTTCTGCGCGGTGCATGGTTAAATGCGCTGTCCAAGCAAACCCTGCGACTGCTCCCCCCGCTCCGCTGTAATTCATTGTTCTTATTCTTATTGTTCTCGCTGCTATTATTTTCTGCCAGAGAAAATCCTGCGAGCGCCTCTCCCGGCTTCGGCAGCAAAATCGCCGCGCGGCGCCGCCTCCGTGGGCTTTCCCGCAGGCGCCCGCCGGAGCTTCCCCGGCTGAGCCGAACGAGCTCCGAGCAGCCCTGGACTTTGACGCGGGGGGGAGGGGCGGCCTCTCCCCTGGCCGGGGATTCTGCCCCGCGCATCCTGCGTAGGGGCTGCGAGGAGAAGGGGTCCTCCCCGCCGTCTCCGCGGGAGGGCCAGCCTGGCATCTCCCCGCCAACGCCTGGCGGGCGGCCCCAGACCAATGGCCTCGACGAGAGCCTTCGGGGGCCCAGGGCGGGGCGGCGCCTGGGGAAATCAAGGCGAGTGCCCCCCCCCCCCACGCCCGGAATCAATGCTGCGCGGAGGCGCGGCCCGGCCGGTCCCTCTGGAAGGCGCGGCGGGGATGGCCGTTGCGGGGGCCGGGAGTGGGGGGGGGGAGGACAGAGGAAGGAGAAGGCGAGGCGAGCGGGTCACCGATCCACGCGAGGCGAATGCGAGACTAAATGGGCTAGCGGGGTGATGGAGGGATAAGGAGGAAGGAGACAAGGCCAGGCAGACGGGAGCGGAATGAAAGAAGGGGGGGTTCGTGGGGGTACAAGGAAAAACAGAGGAGGGAGCGAGCGAGCCCGCGCGATGGTTGCAGATAAAGAAATTCCAAGGGATGCGGGTGGAGAGAAAACAAAGAGCAGGGAAACTGAAAGAAGGAAGGAAGGTGGGCGGGAGGGAGGGAGAAGCAAAAGAAGGAAGGGGGCGAAAATGGGAAGGGGAGTAAGAGAAGAAGAGCGCGAAAACCGTGGGGGAGAAAAAAGGCCCGAGGGAGTGCAGGCGAGGGGGCGCGGGGGCGCGGGCAGGCGCGAGTTCGCTCGCTCGCTCGCTCGGCGGAGGGTCGCCTCGCGTCCCCCAGCGCCGCCCGCTTTCTGCGTCGGGCGTTAGGGCTCAGCGGGGCGCGACGCCTTCTCCCGGGCGGACCGTTGCGCCCCCGGCGCGGGGAGGGCGCGTGTCTCTGAGGGTCGGCGCGGCCAGTGCCGCGAGGGGAAGCGCCGCTCCGGCCCGCGCCGGCCAGCCCGCTTCGCTCGGCCCCGCGGAGACCGCTCGGCTCGACGGGGCGGGCTCGACAGCGTGCCCGCTCCGCGCCGGGCAGACGCTGCTCGGCTCCTTCGCGAGACGGCGCGAGATGGCGGGCTTGGCCGATGTGCGCATATATTCAAATGCAGTTCCCTAAAGGAGCGAGAGGAAGACGATTGAATCCAGGGACGACGGAGCGGAGCGGGCTGCTCGGCAGCTTCCTTGGGGATGACCGCCGCCACGGGCGGCCTCCCTGCTCGCGTCGCTGCGTGTGCTGCTTTCGTTTCTCTCTCTCGTCTCCCATCTACACGAAAGCAAGCGTGGGCGAGGTATGTGGAGCGCCCACCCGCGGCTCCCAGGCCAGGTCCAGTCCGGGGGTGCAAAGCTGAACCCAGCAAAACCGCAGAGCACGGCTCGTTTCAGCCGGAATGTTAACGGCTCTGTCCGCGTTACTGACTCCTTGGGAGGCTGGCTTAGCTTTAGCCTCCTGGAGAGCCTGAAACCTCCGGGCCGAAACCCGCAGTGGATACACGGCCCCATTGACACTGGCCTCTGCTGTTAATGAGACTGAACTGGGATACGAGGCACCCTGGGATGGGCCCTTCTGGAACACCCGCCCCCGTTAACTATAAGGAAAGGCAGAGTACAATATGTACTTTTAATATACATGCTTCTATCCATAGGCACGTGGTTCACCTTCCATTTTGCTGCCAAAAGCAGCATTCAGAGTGGCTAAGAATAAAATACAGATTAAAAGCAAAATCTGAATGAAACCATCCTGCAAAAATAGATTTAACAAATCCTCTTGACTGAATAAAACCAGCCACCACTTCTCGCTGCTCAAGAATTCTGTCTGACCAGAAAGCTTGTACCTGTACAGAGCCACCCGGAAATTGTCCCACGTTCCGTTTCGTCACGCCTTTGCTCTCGGGTCTTCTCCCGGGCCAGGGAAAGGAAACCTTTGCATAGGCTGAGTCTGGGGGCTTGTGCTTGGAAGTAGTGAGGCTTGCTTCTGAGTAAGCGTGCCTGGGCATGCATTGCTCCAGTTCAGAAGCTGAGAGAGGCCGCAAAGCAGCAAAAGAACTGGGGCTGCAGCCCAGGATAGACCCCCTGAGGTGAGCAGGGTGGGAATCGCGACTCCTCTCCCTCTTGGCGAATTCACCTCTGATACTCATGAGGTGTTCCGGGAGGGGCAAACTTTGGCATCTAGAAAAAACAAGATATCTGGAGGGGCAGAATTCTCTTCCTACTCCTGGACCCAGACCTTTAATCAGACCAAGCAATATTCCCACTCCCCAAAATATTCAGACTTTCGATCTACAGAATTCTAGGAATAATTTTAGCATCAAACGCCGCCCCCGCCCCCGCCTGGGCTCCCACAGCGCTGAGCCTGACATGCAATGCCCCCCGCACTCGCTAGCTGGGGTGTTTTCTGCGGGACCCAGCTCCCCGTACAGCAGAGTCTTCCTGGAGCGTTGAGCTGCAACGCCACCAAACACACCCGGTGCAGCAGAGCGCGGATCGCGCCCCTGATGGGTCAGTCCTCTGGGGCATCAGCCGCTTGCTCGTTGGCAGCGATGTCAAATGAGAGGCTCGCAGGGGCCTTAGCATTATTGATTCGGTTTATGAGCTGCCCTATCGCAGCAGCTCCCCGAGTCACATCCACGAAATCATCATCAGCTGCATCATTGGCATCATCCTATTGACGAGCGAAAGCTCTCAGGGCCGCGGGGAACGGGTGGCTCCAGAAGCCCCTGTGCAGAACAACTCGGGGGCGCCATTCGACAGCCCCCCCCCCTTCATTTTAAAGACCGCCTTCCCCGGCTCAGTGCAGCAAGACTGCCCAGCTCGCAGGCCTGCACGGCTGCCGGGGGGGTAAATTAATTTCAGCGATCAGGTTACTGGGAGAGCGGAAGAGAGAGCGAACCCTCCCGGGCACATGCAGGTGAGTTGGAAAGGTCAAGGGTGCAGGTGAGCTGCCAGGCCACAGAAGAGGGAGGCGCAAGCCCCCGGATGGCCCCCAGGCAACATGGAGCACGCCCCTCGGGTTGCCAGAGGGAGGGGGTATGAAGGCGATTCAGCCACCCCCTTCCAGAAGGAAACAGGGAGGGGCGGAAGGAAAGGCTTTTGCCCAATCTTGGCACGATCTGGAGTGGAATGAGTGGGGCTGGGCCAGACAGGCGCTGGATTCCAACGGGCCCCCACAGACAGACACTCTCGGAGGCCGTTGCCCCCAAGCCCCGCTGGTCTGGCTCCCAGATCCGCCAGTATGCAAGACTGCAACCGCAGTCCTCCTCAGAGGTGACCCATTGAAACGAGTGGGATTTGACCAGCATCCCTCAGTGTGTGACCACTTGATGTTAAGGGGCCTGCTCTAAAGGGGAATAAATCGGAACCAACCCAAATTCTGGAAATGAAAATGTTGCATCTTAACCGATGGGGAGATTTGGAACTTTACGGATTCAAGTTTTGTGGCATGTGGGGGGGGTGGGGGGGTGCACTGCTAGGCAGTGCCAAAAACAGCAACAAGAATAACAATCCCTGTGCTCACACTGCCTACACTTGGAAAATATGAAAGATATTTTTCATGTGGAAATAAGATTTTAAAACACCAGCAGCTTGGAAAGGAAGCCGAGATGGAAGGGGCTGCTCCCTCATGATAGGCTTGTGGCCTGATCCTGTCTGCTTGGAAATCATTGCCAGGATTTTTTAAAATGCTTAGTTAAAAAAATCATAGAATAACATTCCTCATATTATAAACTATGTGGGGGAGCAGTGGAAA